TGCATTAGGTATTTGTCCTAATGCTCTCCCTCCCCTTGCCCCCGACCCCACAACAGGCCCCAATGCATGATGTTCCCCCCTCTGCGTTCATGTGTTCTCATTGTTCAACTCCCACTTATGAGTGAGAACATGAGGTGTTTCCTTTTCTGTTTCTGTGTTAGTTTGCTGAGAATGATGGCTTCCAGCTTCATCCATGTCCCTGCAAAGGACATGAACTCATCTTTTTATGGCTGCACAGTATTCCAGGGTATATATGCTCCACTTTTACTTTATCCAGTCTGTCATCGATGGACATATGGGTTGGTTCCAAGTCTTTGACATTGCAAATAGTGCTGCATTTAGCATACGTGTGCATGTGTCTTTATAGTAGAATGATATATAATCCTTTGGGTATATACCAAGTAATGGTATTGCTGGGTCAAATGGTATTTCTGGCTCTAGATCCTTGAGGAATCACTACATTGTCTTCCACAATGGTTGAACAAATTTACAATCCCACCAACAGTGTAAAAGTGTTCCTATTTCTCCATATCTTCTCCAGCATCTGTTTCCTGACTTTTTAATAATCGCCATCCAGCTGGCTCAGAGGTGGTACCTCATGGCGGTTTTGACTTGCATTTCTCTAGTGACCAGTGATGATGAGCCTTTTTGTTGGCCACACAAATGTCTTCTTTTGAGAAGTGTCTGTTCATATCCTTCACTCACTTTTTGATGGGGTTGTTTTTTTTTCTTATAAATTTGTTTAAGTTCCTGATAGATTCTGTATATTAGACCTTTGTCCGATGGGTAGATTGCAAAAATTTTCTCCCTTTCTGTAGGGTGCCTGTTCACTCTGATGAGAGTTTCTTTTGCTGTGCAGAAGTTCTTTGGTTTGATTACATCCCATTTGTCAATTTTGGCTTTTGTGGCAATTGCTTTTGGGGTATTAGTCATGAAGTCTTTGCCCATGTAGACAGCATTTGTTTATACAGGCATACCTCAAAGGCTTTGCTGATTTGGTTCCAGACCGTGACAAAGCAAATATCACAATAAAGCAAGTCAATCAATTTTTTGGTTTCTCGGTGCACATAAGAGTTATGTTTACACTACACTCTAGTCTGTTAAGTATGTAATAGCATTATGTCTAAAAAATTATATAGCTTAATAAAAATACTTCATTACTAAAATATGCTGATGAACTTCTGAGCCTTCAGCAAGTCATCTTCTTATAATCTTTTGCTGGTGGAGAGTCCCACTCAGTGTCAATGGCTGCTGAAGGCTGGGGTGGCGCTGATAATTCCTTAAAAAAAGACAATGAAGTTTGCCCCGTTGATTGACTCCTTTGTGAACGATTTCTCTGTGACATGCAGACACGGTATGAGCACATGCTGTTGGAAAAATGACGCTGATAGACTTGCTTGACACAGTTTGCTATAATCCTTCAATTTATAAAAAACACAGTATCTGCAAAGCACGATAAAGCAAAGTGAAAAAAAAATAGGTATGCCTCTGTAGGTCTTATACCTTTCATATGGCATTTATCCAGAGGTATTCAATAGCTTTGTCATTAATGTGAATGGGAATTTCTGTCACATCTCAATCCTGAACTGGTTATAGTGACCATAAAAGAATGGCATTGCTTTTTTGTATTTTTAGCTTGAATCCAGCCACTTTCCTAAATGCCATTGATATTTTTCTAACTGAACATTAATATCCACAAATAATGATACCAGTTTTGAGCATTTGCATGCTGATTTTATTTTCTTCTTATTTCAAAAGGTGGAACGTCTAAAATGTGAGTAGAAGAAGTGAAATCATGCTTATTTTGTTCCTGATTTTAATGCTTTAGTATTTCATCCATTTAGTATAATCTTTACAGATTTTTTATTAATATTCATGTTTACAGCGTTTATTTTATTTCTATATAGTTTATCCGTCTCATTCTGTTTCTATTGTGTATCACTTTGTCAAGAATAGCTGCTGAATTTTGTCAAATATCTCTGCTATCTGTTGACATATGCCTTTCACTAAAGTCAGGAATGGAAAGATTTGCTAATTCTTGCATCTTTATCCATGGAATAAACTCTAGTTGATCTTGGTGTGTCATTTTTAAATATGGTGCTAAATATTTCTAACATTTTATAATTTTTGCACGAATGGCCATACCTAGATTTATTTTTATTTTTTCTTTTGACATGTTTTCTTTATCGTATTTTGGTATTTGTATAATATACGGTAATAGGAATATGACTCCTTCTGTGTTCTGGAATATTTTGACTAATGTAAAAATTAAGTATTCCTTAAGTGTTCCTTGCAGCTTGCCTTTAAAATCATCTGGGCTTGACACCTTTTTAATGATAGATGGTAGATCTTTTAACAGCCTTTTTCATTTCTTTTGTGGTTACCTGTCTATTTAGGCTTTTCTAATACTTAAGTATTCGAAAATACTTTCTTTTCTAATTCAATTTAAATTTAGTTTTTATTTGCTAATTCAATTATATTGAATTTTGCTAGAAAACTGTTCAGTTTCCTCTGGAGTTTAAAGCATCCTAACCTAAGGTTGCACATAATACTTTGTTAGAATCCTTCCAAGACTCATCGTATTTCCAGTTAGTTTCATGATTTAATACTTTCAGAGAACACTCATCTCAGGTGAGCCCTTATTCCTCCTGGATAGGTGAGGAAACTGAGGGAAAAAATGGGTAAGCAGCTTATTGCAGGGGCACACAGCCAGGTAGAGGCAGAGTCTAGACTCATGGAGCCCCGTCCTCCTCAGGCCCTGAAGGTCTGAAACCATAAGGATGGAGCTATGGCTGTATGTCCAGGAGAGGTTCCTCTACCCTCTTAATGCCAACATCCCTTAGGGAAATGCTTGTGTATTTGGGTCTGGGAAGTGCATTTTCAAGTGTTGGAATTCTAAAAATACTCAAAACGCATCAGCAATTATCACTTTTATTTTCTAAAATAAAAAAGACGTTCATTTACTTTGCAAACAGCTCCAAATGAACATGTATAAAAACTCCATCAGCCTTTGCATGGTGGAAGATGTGGTGGGCTTCAGCTTGGGTGTACGTGTACAGATTCATATTTCTGAGGATACTCCCAGCAGCATCCTGTGTTTGGTACAATTTCATAAAGTAAGAAAGACTTTATACATTATGCAGGCTTTTCTGTCATAAAGGACGGTAACATCTAATATATATGTTACTCTGCAGTTGCCTTGAACATGACTGAGTTTTAGTAGTTGGGGGAGGGCCGGGCGCAGTGGCTCACGCCTCTAATCCCAGCACTTTGGGAGGCCAAGGCGGGTGGATCATGAGATCAGGAGATCGAGGCCATTCTGGCCATCATGATGAAAACTTGTCTCTATTAAAATATAAAAATTTAGCTGGGCATGGTGGCGGGCGCCTGTAGTTCCAGCTGCTCAGGAGGCAGAGAGGGGAGAATTGCTTGAACCTGGGAGGTGGAGGTTGCAGTGAGCCGAGATCATGCCACTGCACCCCAGCCTGGCAACAGAGCAAGACTCCATCTCAAAAAAAAAAAAAGAAGAAAGAAAAATTGTAGTTGGGGGATGAGATGTGATACTCTGCAGAAGCCCTTAGCATGGCGCTGGAGTGCACGGTAGGAGCTGCTGTCAAGGACCACAGCCATGGTGGGTTTTGACTTGGAGAAACCCAGTCATATATCTCAGAATACATCGGGTACAGGAAAGGCTTTCGTGTGTGGTCACCCGGAGAACCTCACCTGTCTCCGACGCCCACACCTGTCTTCTAGCCCTCCGCTTCCAGGTCAGCATACTCCAGAAGCTGCTCTGTGGATGCAGCAGCCACAGGCCTGGCTCTGGGAGCCTTTCTCTAATTGCAGCACGTAGATGCACATCAGAGCTGCTTCACAGGCCCCTGCCCACGTCCCCCCACCCCCCCAGGAGGCTCAAGGCTCAGCTGCCCACCAGCTTCCTCCCCGGAGTCCCAGTTCCCAAGTCTGATGTCAGCGTGGAGCCCGGCCTCCCCCAATGTGGAACCAGCCTCCCCATGCCTCCTCCCAACTGTCCCCAGGACAAGGCCCCTTGCGGTTGTCATCGTGCATCCGCAGTTGCTCACTGAGTAACTTCCCCTTGCTGACTCTTCCCTCCGACACGTGTGTCTGACACAGTGAGCATCTGCAGATGCTGAAGGTGGGGTGCAGTCGTCCACGGGCCCCTCCCAGCTTACCTGGCCACAGGCCCTCTTGCCAGCACGTCAGTAAAAGAACCCTTGTGCTGTCCCTCTCTCTCCACAGCCAATTCCTCCTCCTCCCGGGAAATCCCCAAGCCCTGGCTAGGGGCACATTCCTCCCCTGGACTCAGCACCACGGACAGTGTCATGAGGCCCTAAACCACACCCCAAACCCCAGACTTCCAATGCCCAAGGAGGGAGGCAGAGCGCTAAGCCAGGCCTGGGACCCACGTCCACTGTGGGGAGGTCACCCCTCGCAGGTGCCACCACACTTAATTGCCCAGAATTAAGTCCCCGTGGATCTCACAAAGTTTCCGACTTCAAGGAACATTTAGGTGCAGTATAATGGCACAACAGTCATCAAAACCCCCCTTTCAAATTTTAACTACTATGAGTACATCAACTAAATTGGTGTGGACCCCTGTTCATTCCCTGGCCTCTCAGGGAAGGCTCTCACTGTGTGTGTTCATCAAACCCAAAGACAGACTGAAGACGTGAATAGATGAGAGTAAAAGGTGTGCCCTCCCCAGAGCTGGGCTCTGTGCTGGCCGCCCAGCCTTCCAGGGGCACTGCTCTGCCCCGTGGGAAACTCACTTGACCCTTCATGGCTCAAAACCCAGGCTTCTGCTCAGCTGGGCCTGTCCCGGGGCTGGAGGACGCCTCAACCCACCTCCAGGGTGCAGCTGTCTTCTGGCTTCTCCTCCCACCTCCCTGGGCCTCCCTGGGACTTGCCCTGGGTGAGAAGCCCAGAGCAAAAGGTGGTTGATTATTTCTCAAACGGGTCAATTTTCATTCTGTTTCGTCCAGACAGCTGATGAGTGGGCTGAGAAAATGCCCAAAAGCTCGCCGCCTTCTTCTCCCAAGACCGTGGCCAACAGAGACCTCCTGGCTCGTCTCCACAAAGCAGTGACTTCCCATTACCATGCCATCGCCCAGGACTGTGAGAATTTTGACACCATGAAAACGAACACCATCTCCAGAGATGAGTTCAGGGCCATTTGCACTCGCCACGTCCAAATCCTGACGGACGAACAGGTAAGAAACGCATGTCAGTCCCCACCCTACTCGCCGTGGGCTGAGCATCAGCCTGGTCCCTGGTCGGTGTGCAGAGTTTAAGATTGTTCTCTGTTTTTAAAATACTTGTAGTTTTATTATTTTGTTTTTCAATCTTCCTGAGGATTCCCAGGAGCCTTCTGTTTATGTAACAACTATGAATTGCACCATTTTCATCAGGGTACAAATAATGTCACCGTTACTTTTAAAATCAAATTAAACTGAGCTTCGGCTCCCACGTTCCCTCTGCCTTCCCCGGACCATCCCAGAGCATTTCATGTCTTCCGCAAAAGGTCAATAATTGTGTTTTGTCTGCATAGTATATAGGGTTAGGTCCTATACAATTTTGTATGTTTGGATATATTATACAGCAAATAGAATCATAAAATGTGTGATGCCTGCACAGCTAAAATACTCTATAAATACTACATGTAATAAACACCTTGAGCTGGGTGCTTTGGCTCATGCCTATCATCTTAGTGCTTCGAGAGGCCAACACAGAAGGATTTCTTGAGCCCAAGAGTTGGAGGCTGCAGTGATGTGATTATACCACTGCATTTCAGCCTGGGTGACAAAGGGAGACATTGTCTCAAACAAACAAACAAAAATTTTGGGTGCTGCATCACTAATCGATCTCCACTATCATTGATCGGATAGAATAGGAGTCAGAGGTTCAAACACCAAAGTAAGGGAGATACCTCGGTGTGGTATGTGGTAATGTGGTCTGGGTCCGTCATGGGCAGCAACTCTTTGGGGCCGGTGCTGCGCAGGCAGTAGAAAGAATTTACCAAGACAGGTGTGGGTGAGGAAAGGCAGATGTACAAGAAAAAGCATGAAAAGACGCTGCAAGGGCACACTGGGCAAGTCAGCAGGATAAAAGCTGACTGCACAGAGACGAAGTTTGCTGGGGATTTTATAGGATGGTGCTTGTGCTGGGTGCCGAACGAGGCTTTGTGCAGTACTGAAGACACCAGGGTTCCAGTTAGCTACCTTGCATTTTCCTGTGAGCCGAGGGTCTGGTGATAGCTGGGTGCAGGAAGATGGTGAGTTATTTGTGCGGGAGGGCTCCGTGTTCTGGACCATGAAGAAAGGCGGACTTAGAGCTTACCTGCTTTTCTGTTTTGCTTTCCCCTGTTCCCACCAGCCTGACTCCTCTTCTTTAATTAGATTCCACATGGTCCAAAGAGGGAGGCCAGTCTGTCCTCATGCCTCAGGAGTCACAGACCCTGGCGGAAGGCTGGTGCTCCTCCTGCCACCTCAACCCCACCTCAACCTGCCTTCTCCTTGCCACTACCTGGTGTTGCTGCTGGCAGTGTGGGATGCTCTGGGCCACGATTCTAAGCATGCTGGGTACATGCCACCCCTGCCTCTCCACTGTGCACAGGCTGGACACAGGCTCTGCCTCTCTAAGACCCTCCTCCCTGTCAGAATCCCCAGAAGGACATGCTTCCCGTTCTCCTGCCCCAAGGACTGGGCTGAGCTCTTCTTTGGCTCAAAGGCTCTGACAGCCTGCTCCTGCTCCCCTGGACCTCTTTGGCCTTTCATGGCCTTCCAAGGCCAAGAGTACCTCCGAGGGGGATGGCATCCTGAGAGTCTGCCGTGCCACGGCAGCCGGGGGAAGGAAGAGAGCACCTGCCCAGCCTGCCTCCTGTCCGTAGGAGAGCAGAACCCCAGGTTGCTTTGTTCCTTACTGCCCTAAATGCCAAAGCAGTGTGGAGCACTGAGTGGGTGCTCAGTACGTGCTGGTGAACAGACAGCGTCCAGACTCCCGTGCCCTCCACCGTCCTGAACAGCCAAGTAACACGGGGCACCACTTAGCCAGTTACAGAGGGAGATTTCCCTTCACCCAGAAAATACACGGCTACGAGCCCTCTCCAGTTCTCAAACGTGTCAATGTCCGATTCCCAGAGAAGAATTCAGGTTACAATGTAAGATCCCCAAATACAAAGCAGCTCCGCCTCCCTCCTTCCTCCTGGTTCTGCTCAGGCTCAGCCCAGGGAATTCCCTGCAGACCCTTCATGGAAACGTAATTCTTTTGCCTCCAAAATTGGGCCACTCCAACCTCTTGTCTCATTTTGTCAGAGTTGCAGGGTAGGGACTTGGAAGTCTTCATAGGGAGGGGTGATCATCGCAGTACCCCTGGTCCCACTCACAGCTCTGAACTCACTGCCTCATCCATGCATGCCTTAAACACTATCATCTTTCTTTGGCATTTTGGTGTGAGTACTTTTGCTAAGCAAAATTAAATGCTCTTTCCAAATGATCCTGCACCATTGCACATCAAAGCCGAGCAAGATCTGTATTTGCAAATACTTCTTAGCATAAATGAAAATAAGCCTTTGAAATTAATACAGTTGCATTTATTACTCTATAGGGCCAAGTCATCAAGGTTTTACTAATAAAGATTTTTTATTTCATCTAAATGGGTAAAATGTTACTCTAATTATAGATAGAAATTAATGGCATGCTGAGATATGTGGCATTCATCACAGAGAATTTGATTTTAATTGTCCACTAAGAAAACTTCACCATCCTCAGCACATCAAGCCCCTTCCCCAACAAAATTAAGTACTTATTTTTAAATGCAGTTTTCTAAAAATAAGCTGACATGTCTCTTACATGCAGCCAGCAAACATATAAAAAAAGCTCAACATCATTGAGCATTAGAGAAATGCAAATCAAAACCACAATGAGAGACCATCTCACACCAGCCAGAATGGCTATGATTTAAAAGTCAAAAAAAAAAAAAACAAAAAAAACATGCTGGTGAGGTTGCAGAGAAAAAGGAATGCTTCTACAGTGTTGGTAGAAGTTGGGAGTGTCAGTTAGTTTAAGCATTGTGGAAGACAGTGTGGAGATTTCTCAAGGACCTAGAGGCAGAAATACCATATGAGCAAGTAATCTCATTACTGGGTATTACCTCAAGGAATCTAAATCATTCTATTATAAAGATACATATACACCTGTGTACATTGCAGCCCTTTTCACAATAGCAAAGGCATTGGGAAAAAAAACTATGTGCCCATCAGTGATAGACTGGATAAAGAAAATGTGGTACAACTACGCCATGGAATACTATGCAGCCATGAAAAGGAATGAGATCATGTCCTTAGCAGAGACATGGATGGAGTGAGAAGCCATTATCCTCAGCAAACTAACATAGGAACAGAAAACCAAACACTGCGTGTTCTCACTTATAAGTGGGAGCAGAATGATGAGAACACACGAACACATGGGGGAACAATACACACTGGGGCCTGTCGAGGTCGGGGAGGAGGGAGACCATCAGGAAGAATAGCTAATGGGTGCCGGGCTTCATACCTCCGTGACGGGGTGATCTGCGCAGCAAACCGCCATGGCACACATTACCTATTAACAAACCTGCACATGTACCCTAGGAACTAAAATAAAAGTTAAATAAAAAAAAAAATAATAAGGCCGGGCACAGTGGCTTATACCTGTAATCCCAACACTTTGGGAGGCTGAGACAGGCGGATCACAAGGTCAGAGGTTCGAGACCAGCCTGGCTAACATGGTGAAACCCCGTCTCTACTAAAAATACAAAAAAATAGCCAGGCGTGGTGGTAGGCACCTGTAATCCCAGCTACTCGGGAGGCTGAGGCAAGAGAATCACTTGAACCCAGGAGGTGGAGGTCGCAGTGAGTCAAGACCGCGCCTGGGCAACAGAGTGAGACTCCTTCTCAAAATAGATAGATAGATAGATAGATAGATAGATAGATAGATAGATAGATAGATACATAGATACATAGTTGGATAGATAGTTGGATAGATAGATAGATAGACAGACAGGCAGACAGACAGACAGACAGATAAAAAGCTGACGTGTCTCCAATACAGACCTCATCATCAAGAACCTCAAATTCTGGCATGAATATTGGGTTGCTACAAAAGTAATTGCAGTTTTTGCCATTGAAAGTAATGCAATTGCCATTACTTTCAAAGGCAAAAAATGCAGTTATTTTTGCACCAATCTAATAACGTTGGGGGATGATTAACAAAGACTGCTATACTAGGGACAGATGCTCCTGGATGGGCTGATAGGCAGCTAAAGCCCAGAGGTCCGTGTGTTTCCCCCTTGCACGAGTGACTTTGCCGGAGACCTTCTTGGTCAAAGGCGAGATTCCTGGTAAAGTGTAACCTGGGAGTCCTTTGTACTCTTAACATGTCTAGACCCTCGTGCCATTATCTGAAAGTGCTCACGGAAGGTGCCGGGGCGGTTCAACCGTATTAAATTACACTTAACTCCGTATTTCATGACTTGGTTTATCTACATTATAAAAACTTTAAATCTCCTACTTAAAAAAAAAAATCTAACAGTCACGAACATAAAGGGGCAGCTTTCTTGACTTGCCAGGCTCTGTAAGTGGGGAAAGTGACCCGTCGTTTGAAACGTTTTGGTGCCATTAACCTTTCGGGAAAGGAGAGCAACTTTCAGAGCAGATGGGTGGGGACGGCTGGGTCCCTGGCTCTGCAGAAAGCACGTGATAAAAGGCTGTCGGTTGGAGCTGGGTCTCCTGCGGTGTTGCTTAAGACAATGGACCCACAGCAGGAGCCTCTTTTTGCAAAGCAATTTAGATCAGCCCACAGTGATTGTTTGAGGACTTTTAATATGCAAATATATTAGGGAAAGGAACCGCTAAACCTTTCTGAACTCTTTTTTTTTTTTGAGAGGGAGTCTTGCTCTGTCTTGCAGGCAGGAGTGCAGTGGTGGCTCACTGCAACCTCCGCCTCCAGAGTTCAAGCAATTCTCCTGTCTCAGCCTCCCGAGTAGCTGGGACTGCAGGTGCCCACCACTATACCCAGCTAATTTTTGTATTTTTAGCAGAGACAGGGTTTCACCATATTGGTCAGGCTGGTCTTGAACACCTGACCTCAGGTGATCCACCCACCTCAGCCTCCCAGAGTGTTGAGATTACAAGCCTGAGCTGCTGTGCCCGGCCTTCTGAACCTTTTACATGTGG